AAAATAAATTTGGGTCAATATATAACAAATGTTTATCATGAAATTTTTAAATTAAAATGCTTAGTATATAAATCAAATTCAATGATAAGGAATTTTAATATTTTGTCATTAAAAAATGTTTAAATAAAATACTTGTAAAAGATATATATAACTAAGTTATATATTAATGTGATGAATAATATTAATATATTAGTGATGCATAACTTGATTCCACTAACGACGTTAAGATCCTCGATATGAGATTGATATTGCTTTATTTTATTTTCATAACTAAAACAAATATTTTAGGTAAGCATTGCTATACTCTAGATTATAGATCTTTTCATAAAACTATATATTATCAGAGATACAAAAATATAGATACAAAAACTGTTAATTAATAACGAATGTGCAATATTAATTTTAATTGAGTAATACATGAATTATATTTGATAGTTGATTAATTATAATAACTATAATAAACTCAAGTTATAATTTAAAGTTCTGCTCTTGAACGTAATATACAAAAATATAAATTAGTTGATTTGAGTATTAAAAATATGATTGATAATTTCTGGCGAAGGCTTACCATCTGGTTTATTATTGTCAGATTCACTAAATTCTTTATAATTTTCAGGTATGGGATGTGGTCCTGGATTCGTTAAATCATTCGCTTTATCTTGTACTTCTTTAAACGAGGCTTTAATATTATCTAATGCATTGCCTAATCCCGTTTTTATTTGATTAAATTCTTGTGTTACGAGTGAAAGTCGTCCTAAGAGATAATTCAAATTTGTATCGACTTCCGCCATACGTTTTGTTATCTCGCCCACCTATGTATAAAAACATATTTATTTAGATAGGAAAAATGTAATGCTCTTTTGTTTCACATAAATTCAGTTGGTTATTACCTTAGTTTCCATTCCATCCATAGTATTAGTTGTACCATTAACATATTCTACATTTTGTTCATGTAATTTTTCTAATACTTTTGTACTTTCTGTCATTTGTTGATACATAACATTTATTTGCCGCCATACCTTTTGAAAAAATTAAGTTTTTGTATATTTAAGGATTAATTATATAAAAGGTTACATGTAATTACTACCTGATTCATTTCTTGTTCCATTTTAGTGGTTAAATTTGCTAAAGCGCCATTCTGATTATCCATAATATCATTTGATATACCATCAAATCTTTGGTTTAGAGTATTATTAATATTTATACCTTGCGCTTTTACTAAATCTCCTACTTCTAAAAGAATTTGATGTACTCCATACTCAACTCTCTTTTTAGTATCCAATACATGATCAGCCATTGAAACCATTACAGATTGTCCCTTTTCAAGATTTTGTAGTTCTTGATTTACACGATCAGCATTATTTGCAGAGTCCATTCTAAAATTCCAATGATAATTAATAAAATGTTGTGGATGTTAACAAGAAAATTCAACTCGAGCTCAAATTGTTTCTTATTAATATTATCCTGTATATAATAAATAATATTACCTAAGAGATCTTATTATTTCTTTTGTTTCATTTTTAGTCTGTATTAATTTCTTTTCTACATTGTTAATTCTTTCAACAACAACATCTTTCAAAGAATGTTTAGCATCTTGTAAAAGCGTTTGTGATTCATTGTGAAGAGCCTGTATGTCATTATTCCTAAAAAATGAAATGTTTTAATTGTAATTCCACAGTTTATGCAAAGTATGGTTTCATATAATCGTATTAATATTTTTAATATAAGTTACAAAATTATTTAATTTAAAAAGTTTGTAATAAATTATATTAATGTTACCTTGGCAATTCTCTAATTTGTTCAGACACATTTTCTAAAAGTTTTTGCATAGGAGGTAAAGCTCTTGCATATTGATCGATACTAGAAATAGTTTCGAACTGTGATTCTTGTAACTTTTTTTTCATTGTTTGAGAATGTTCTCTAACTTTTTCCAATGAAATCTCAAGATTGCTAAGCCTTGAATTAACATCCTGGATCTATTCAAGTGTATTCAAGAGTATTCAAATTTAATATGTGTCTGAATATGCAAAATAAAGAAGTCATTTACCTCGGTTAATAATGCTTGTATCGTTCCTGTTTGATCATTCGAAATTTCTTTCAATTTCATTGTTTCAGATTTTAACATTGATTCAGTTTTTGAAATTCCTTCCATTAATAATGATTCTGTATTATTAAGTTTTGAGACAATGACAGACACATTGTCAATGGGTGAAGGTGTAACATCTGGTCGTGCATTAACTTCTGACACTTTATTTTCAATATCTGTAAGCCAACCTTCTAGGCGACTTTCCAAATCTTCTAAAGTATCAACAGTTTTTTGCATTTGTATTCTTTCACGTTCGTCTCTCTGAATAAAATATATCAAATTTAAATACAAAATTACACACATGGAATTATATACTAATGAAATACATTACAGTACATAAAAAGTATTATAGTTATATAGCTAATACTATTATCAGAGGTTTACGAGAATCTGAACTCCTATATAATTTAAATCTCACAATTAATCGTTAATGAAATACCTGTGAAATTAATTGTTCGATTCCTGTTACTTTTTCATCAAGTTTTGTCATCTGTAATTTGAGGGCATCAACTGTTGATACACGTTTTGTTAAAACAGCAATTGTCTTTTTTAATTGTTCCCCTAATTGACGTTCTCTTGCTTCGTGTCTTTCTAGTTTTTCAGTATTTTCTCGCATCATATGTACTAAACTTAACATTGCATCTTTAATATCTTCATGTCTAAAACCAACATTAGTTTTGTTAAACAACAAATTTTTCATTTAAAGTCAGTTTACACTTATATTTCCATTATACAAAGTATTAACAATTATTTCAGACTTACGTGATTTCTCTAGTACTGCTAAAACTGATGCAAAGTAATTGCAAAGACAGTATTAAAATATATTTCATTGTTGAAAATGTAATTAATGAATTCCAGCAGAATTATCTAAAATAATAATAAAATATTATTTTTACTTTTCATGATAATGAAATTATATTTATCTTTAAATCTATTATAAAACGAGCTACATTATCGTTGTAACTACCAAAGTAGATGCAATATCTTTAAAATGAGTGGAATACTTCCTTTAGTCAATTAATTGAATACACTGTTATTGAGATAAGAAGCAAAGAGGTCATTGCTGATGACTCTTTGATGGGTAAGAGCATCTTTGTCAGTAAACTGCAGTAGTAATTCATACTTTCATAGCTAAGAATATGGATATTTAGCCATTAATAATTAAAATTAAATGACATTCATTCAGTACCAATCCTGTATTTTTATGTAGTAAAATTACCATATTTGAATGCAAATTATTAATAATATTACAATTATTTATTTTAAATTGTATTTGTGTGTTTATATATGTGCATATATATAAATATAAAAGAGAGGGAAGGAGAAAAGGGAGAAAAGTCTTTTTTTATGAATAGTTGTATATATGTAGATAAATCTAGATTGTGTTATATAGTTATTATGTAGAGTGTTTCATGTTTATTCTATCAAATGATGTCAGCATGTTTTATGATTAAAAATAAGAAAAAAACAGTTATACAAGTGCAAGATTGTAAATGCTTTAGTAAAAAGTGATTACAAAAATACCAAAATAGTTGGTTTCTCATTTAATTCTGTAGTTTTTATTATAAAATTGTATTTACTAATGGTTATTGTGATTATGTATATTATACGTTTGTATCAGGTCGTGTAATATGAAATGTTGAATTTTGTGGGGAAAAAGAAAACTTTATTTAATATTCTAAAAGGCGTTTATTCAATCAAAATATGCTTTATTCGATTCAATACACTTCTGCCAATGTGTTTTTTCAAATTAAACAATGTTTAGAATGAATAAATTCTAACGACATCGTTATAAACTACTTGTTTCGGGTTTACCACGCGACTCATTTTGCAAAGAAACGCTGCATTATTCTTTCATTCACAGTATTATCCTTAAATGGTTTGTTTATATTTTCAGCGGTTTTTGCAGCGTTATTTTCAAATTTGAATTCATATATGAAAATTACACGGATGTGACGGTATCCATGTTTTCAAAAAACGATACAAGAAATATATAGTTATTATGTGCAGTTCGGAAAAACTTTTTTACAAAAAGTTACTCTGATAATCGACAATGAAACTGTTTAAGAGGTTATATGAAAAACAAAGGAATAATTACAACGGGAATACAAACATTTATGAGTAAGAAAAATACGATATTTCATATTACACGACCTAATACGAAAAGCAATTGACTCAATTTATCAACAATACTACTTTTGTATTCACAAAAACAGATGAGATCAATTGAGAAGCCATTCATTTATAATTTTGGTACTTTCATCACAACTTTTTCATAAAGCATATAAGACCTTATGTTTGTATAATATTTACTTTTTATTTTTAATCATAGAACATACTGTAACTGTTTGACAGAATAAAAATGAAACACCCTATATACACTTCTATTATAATGTTATAATGTGTAAAAGATGTGGTCATTTTTAAATTATTTTACAGTTTCTATGCATGAAAATCTTTATGGCATCTCACTGTTCAACGTCACAAAGAGAGTTTAAATTTTAGCTATTTTTAGATCTACAGATATACATCAAGTGGCATTTGATGGAGCCATATGGCCCATTTAAGCCATGTGTCTCAAATGCAATAAATTCATTTTTTTTCAATGAGTACCTTTGTGCATGTAAATGTCAGTGCTTAGAACAAAACACATGTTCTACAGCATTAAAATAAAACAAATTCAAGAAATATTATGCAAGCTATAATTAAATACATTAATTGTTGAACTGTTTTGTATAATTAATTTTGAACTAAAAACACTAATACAATTTAGTCATATTCACACTTGATACAAAAAAGGTAACAAATTACAATAAAATACCTACATCTATATTATATTCCAAATAATCTATTTTATTAATACCTATTATATTTATTATACAATATGACTTATCGTATATAAAATGTAAATTTATTTGTGTAGTAATTTGAAATACAGTTTTATGCCCTGCAATTCTAAATAATATTAAATATATTACAAGCATAGTATATAAAAATGTTATCAGACATAAATGAAGATTAAAATTAAATTAATATTGCTTTGTTTATAACAATTAAATAAT